GCCGCTGCCTCCACCATTGGTCGTCGCCACTGCCTCCACCACCGATCGTCGCTACTGTCTCTACTTCTCTCACGCGAACTACGTTGTTCGTTGTCGCCTTTGGTTGTACGTTGTCGACACTGGCTGTTCGTCACCGTCTTCGGCCGTTCATCATCGCCTTGAGCCGTTTGTCGTCGCCTTTGACCGTTCGTTGCCGCCTTTGGCTGTTTCGTCGCCGCCTCCGTTGTCCCAAATAAAAAAGAAAAAGAAAATATTTTGAAAAGCAAAAGTCCCCATTTTCTAAAAAAAAAATAAAAAAAAGGCATCTACCGCCTCGGTTCGAAACCAACCGAGGCAAAAAAACTCACACATATTGCCTCGGTTCAAAACCGAGGCAAAAAGGTTACCCCTTTTTGCCTCGCCTGTATATACCTCGGTTTAGGAACTACGGTCATAAACTCAAAACAACCGAAGCAATAGCCCTTCGTTGCACTAGTGTTGCCAAATCAGCATCACACAATATATTGCTAAATCTAAAATGAGTTTTTATCAATGTCAAATAATAATATTATTTTCACATTTTGTGTATATTTTTAGGCAAATATTTTACCATTTATTAAAATAAATTAATATTAAATGTTTTCTAAAATATGGAGAGTTTCAAAGTCTGTGTAGGATGCAATAAACGAAAATGATTTCCAAGACTTCCAGTAAACATTCAGAAACGATTACTAAACATTTTTAGATAAGAGGAAATAATGAATGGTGTAATATAACGAAACTTCGATGAAACATGTTTGTTATCGGATGATACAAAATTTATTGGTGCAATATTTTTTAAGATATTAGGACGTGAATGGAGTAATATATCGAATCTTTGAAAAGAAAAAATGTGTTATGCGTTTGGTTTGTTATAAGATGATATAGAATTTATTGATGTAATTCCTAAGGCGAAAAACTAGGCTAATTAGGAGGCTTGAATTGCGTTGAAAACTTTTCTGATAGTAGTTGTCAAAATATTCTTATTGTCTTTTAATTAACATAAATGGATATCAAAGACCTTTAATCTACAAATAGAAGAGAAAAAATATATAATTTATATATCATATTGCATTACATTATTTATTTTAATCTATTTAACTATTTTTTATGGTATAATATCTAACTGGTAAATGATACAAGAGTTGGTAAATGATGTAAGAGTTGTCCTGTCTGTCTAGACTTTCTAAGAGTAAAATAGCCCAATTTTAACAATGTTAATTGATGTCAAAACCAACTAAAAGTGACAAAAACAAGCTAGATCACTATCCATTCACGGATCACTCTTGGCCACAAATTTAGCACAGCCTATCCTCTGCGAAATCCAACTATTTAGAAACGGCGATATTTCCACGATGGCAGTTTCGTTTGAAGAAAATGATTCCGAAGTACTCAAAGTTGGTTTGCACGTTTACACTGCTCAACTTGTTTTTCATCAGTTCTTTTGCATGGGATAATCTCCCTTGTCCTCCAAAATCCAATACCCCACCGCCTTCAACTGCACCGCAGAAATGCCCCATCAACACGCTCGAGTTTGGTGTTTGTGGAAGTTGGTTAGGGTTGGTAAGAGAACAAATTGGAAGTAAACCAAGCGAGAAGTGTTGTACCGTGGTGAAAGGTGTCGCCGATCTTGAAGCGGCACTGTGCTTGTGCACTGCTATTAAAGCCAATGTGCTGGGACCTGTCAAGCTCAACGTTCCCGTTGCTCTTACTTTGCTCGTCAATGCTTGCGGGAAGAAGGTTCCATCTGGATTTGTCTGTGCTTAGAATAATTTACAAATAATGTGTCTGTCTTTTCTGTATCTGTTGCTTTCAGTTTAACTAAAATTGCTGCTATCAGGCTTTCATTTGGGGATACTGAAGTCCATCACAATGCTGTATTTCATGCGTGTTATTATTAGTGTTTCTATCATCAATTTGATAGAACAGCCTACTTTGCCTTGTTGCTAAAAAAATGTGGGACCAAATTTAGAACATTTAAAATGTTAGAAAAGAAAGGATGGGTTTGTTACAGGTGAATTGGTTTTAAAATTATTTTTGAAAAGAATTTATTTCCATAAAATAATTTCAATTTAAAAGTATGATGCAATTAACATAAGAATTAATTGATAAAAACACAAATAGCTTTTTTTATACGGGTTAGAAAGAACATTTTATACTCATTTTGGAATTGATAGAAAAGCAACGGATATAAAAAAGTATTGACTTTTTTATACCGATTTGATATTTGGTTAAAGATACAACTAATATAGAAAGTGAAATGTTCAAACCAACTCTCTTTCTCCATTCCATTCATCTATACAATTTGTTTCCTACTGATTGACTTGTTGTTGTTGTTCGCTTTTAGGAAAATTTCACAAGTCACTGTCAGATATATTATCTTTATCTTATTCTTTCTTTTGTTTTTAATTAGTTTGCTATTACTTTTTATTTGTATTTTGGGCTTAGCCCATATTTCTTGTCATCTGTCGTTTTTTACAACGGCACTATCTACTGATGCCGGTAGCACCATCGTCTACAGTTGCCACTACAGAAGTTCTAGTTTCGACCGATGATCTCATGATTTTGATCTTCAGTCAGGCGACCACTATACTGTCAACGACACTTTCATTAGAGCTTTTACACATTCTTAATGCCTTTTGAAGTTGTGGATATGCTTCCTTTTTTGTCGTGTGTGGTGGCACGTCTCGTCTCCTCTTAGGAAATGATTTAGAGCGTCGAGGTTCACTCTTTTTCCTCTTTCAAGTTCGTCGTGCGTGGACGCACATCCCATCTCTCAGGAAGCTATTCAGAGCAACAATGTTGCTCTTTTTTTTCTCTTTCGGGGGCCTTAATAGGAGAATCTTTGATTTTTCAGGTTTCTCTCTCGTGTTCACCAATAGCTTATTCCGCTGTTGTCTCTTATGGTCTCCCTTCTATCACCATTGCATTTGACCCTTCCATATATAATTTTTCTCCCGTGACAAATATGGTTTTTGTTAGTTTATTTGTAGTCGTGATGGCTCTTTAACAATGACATCTCTTTCCAACAATGCATTCCTCAACAACGATTTGTAGGAAGAGATTTACATGAAGCAACCTCACAAATTTGTAACTCATGGGGAGTCTTCTAGGTTAGTATTTAATCTTCTATGTCATCTTCGTAAATCATTAACAATTTGGTGTCAGTCGACTGTAGAAGCAAATACTTTCACTAAGTTTTTATTAATTATATTAGTAACAAGCTTGGTACATACGATTAGTATGTTTGAGCTTGAAGGAGAGTGTTAAATATATTATCTTTATCTTTTATCTTTAGTTAGTTTGTTATTATTTCTTATTTGTATTTTTGGCTTAGTCCATATTTCTTCTATTATAAATAAAGTAATCTCATACATAGTTTTTCACTATATTCAACAGTAACAATAAATTGAAGAAAGGAGGTTAGGGCCCAGAGATCTCATGAATTGGAAAAAGAGAAAGAAAGTGAGAAATACTTGAATTGGGAATTGGAATAGTTAACAAATGCAATGTGGGGTTTAATTAATAGTGTGGTCGTGAAATGAAATGAAGTAAGCAATAAAAAAATAAAAGCACCAAGAGAAGGAAACATGTTTCCCTTTTCAAAGTATAACCTTCTTTTATACTTCCCTCCTCCTAGTTTCAGTAACACTTTCACTTCTAGAAAAAGGAGGTGAATCACTAAGGACTACTTAAGTACCAAGTTAACTTTAAGTCCTTTTGTACCTTATTTTTCAAAGGGACTTAGACTTGAAATACAAGAAGACAGACACTAAGCTACCACAACTAAGAAAAACAATTAAAGCTAATATATGCGACCTAATGGTGAAGTTAGAAGGAACTTTGGTTCCCTCACACTTACCAACTACAAAACGCAATATTACTTAAAGTTCAATGTTTTGTTAGGACACATCCTAACAACCGAATATTACAAGTTCAGAAAGAAGAAAGCATAAAATTACAACTTAAAATGAAATATAGACAAATCATTCTTCTCTAAGTGTTTACTTTCTTATCTTCTTGTAACTCCACCAATACCTCAAGCTCCCACTAGATCTCCATCACCTAAGATCCTACCTTTAAGTGTTGGCTCACCACAAAGACAGACCTAACACTACAAAAGCCAAAAGAGTCAAATGAGAAAGCAATAAAAAGATCTAAAATGAACAAAATGAATAACATGAGACAATCAAGAAATTTAATGGTCAAGAAAGAAGTTTAGCACAACAAAATAAAATCCTAAAGAAAAGCTCTAGATTTGATAAACAAAACCAAAAATTACTAAACTAGAATATGGTGCTTTTGTCTTTAACAAGTTTTGTGCAAATGGTGACCTATGACCACAATTTTAACACCAATTGCAAGTGACAAGGCTGTAAAACAATAGCCCCAAACCTAAATTACACAAGCCAAAATTCACATGAAATTGCTCACAAAAGTTGGTGGAAATGGTACATGTATATATGCATATACTCTTTACTTTCGCTTTTTACTTTTTGATTTTGTACTTTTTTTGTCTACCTTTTCTTTTATATTTTTTATCTCGATTACTTTTCCAGCCCATAAAAAAAATACCATACACCACATATCAAGGTTCAAATGTACTTTTGAAAGTTCAAAGGTTCACAAAATGCCATATAAAATGAAAAAACCTACTAGAATCAACATATAATATGAAACTAAAAAATGACACAAAGAAAACCTAACTCTAAAAACTTGTTGATGATCTAAAAAACATACTTGAACATATAATTTTGAGATTTTTCAAATCTCAACTAAGAGGTAATGACATAAGATATAATGACTTAAAAGACTAGACAAGACTCCAAACAACTTGAATGGATTAAAAATCAAAATGAAAAAAACTAAAACATGAATAAAGACTCGAAAAAACAAAGATCATGATATCCTACATATTTAGGAGCATTTAACAACCGAAACAAATTTGATAACTACAAAATCACTTTATTTGATGGTCAAAACGGTGACTAAATATAAGAATTTATTATACTTTTTAGAGTCATCGATTTAGAACCGTAAGTTTGGCACTGAACAATCCAATCGCTATTTATACGAACTAATTTCACTACCAAGTGATTGGATTCTTTATTTTCCTTCTAAAATCTCATGACACACATTTTGCAGTGGGAATCAGAACCTTGTTAGTTGTTACATTCAAATACGTTTTTTGGCAAAAGCGAAAAGATGATTCTTCTTGTGTCGAGCAAGGCCTGGCAGACCCTCAGTGTCTATGTCTTGAGGTTTCATCCCTTCGGGCAACTCCCAGTGGAATGAATTAAGAAGATTTGCAGTTATGAGCTCCACTGATGCAATTCCCAGCGATATGCCAGGGCAAATTCTACGCCCTGCACCGAACGGAATAAACTCAAAATCATGTCCCTTAAAATCTATCTCACTGTTCAAAAACCTCTCTGGCCAATATTCTTCTGGGTCTTTCCAAGCTTCAGGGTCCCTCTGAATGGCCCACCCGTTCACATACACTATTGTCTTTGCTTCTATTTCATACCCATCTATGCTGAAACTTCTAATGGCTTCTCTTGGTACCAGTGGTGTTGGTGCATAAAACCTAAGTGTCTCTTTTATCACTGCCTGCAGATATTCAAGCTTTTCAACATCCTCTTCCTCTATGAACTCCTTCTTGCCACACGCATTTCGAATTTCTTCTTGGGCTTTCGCCATTGCTCTTGGGTTCTTCATCAATCCGGTCATTACCCACACGGATGTGGCTGCAGTTGTGTCAGTCCCTGCCACAAGTATGTCCTGTGACAGTCAAGTAGCATTTCTAAGGTTATGTTGTGATTTATAATCCACTTAGTGCATGGATTTGGGTGTCATTGAGCATAGTTAAAGACCAAGTAATTCATATTTAGCAGTAACAAAATACAAAAGCGTGAACACATACCAAGATGATAGCTTTGATTTGATCTTGGGTGAGGTCTATTGACAAGCGACCCTGCTTCTTAAGCTCAAGCAGCACATCGACAATATCCTCGTCTTCATTTTGTTTGACCCTGTTCGGATCTAGGTGGTCGTCAATGACTTCTTGGAAGAAAACATCCAAGGCCTTGAAAGTGTTTTCAAGACGGCCAAACAAGCCGGTGAGTTTATCGATCCACCCCAAGAACGGAATGTAATCCGAGACAAAGAAAGAAAGGAACATAGCCTGTGAGTCGTTTAGAAGCCCATGGAACCTGCTTCTCTCAGCTCCTTCTTCATCGTACTTTTTCCCAAATGCAACCCTACAAATGATGCCGCTTGAGACCGACATCATGAGCTCACTCAAGTTGGTTACTTTGGAAGAACGAACATGCCCAGATAAAATTTCCATCATCTGTTTGACTTCAGATTTTCTCACACTGGAAAAGGTGGAGATCCGTTTGGAGCTGAAGAAATGGACGACACAGATTTTTCTAATTTCTCTCCAGTAGTCGTTGAAGGGAGAGAAAATAATCTCTTGGCCGTTGTATGAGAGTTTTAGAGGGCCAAGGGAGGGAGGCCTGGTGCAGACATCAATGTCATGGTCTTTGAGGATTTCCTTGGCTAGTTTTGGAGAGGAAACAACAATGGCTTGCTTGAAGCCTAATTGGAGGGAGAAAAGGGGACCATAGACCTTTGAGAGCTGCTCCAGCTGGATATTCAATTTTGAACTATCAATTTGGTGAAGATTGCCAATGAGGGGAAGACCTCTTGGACCCGGTGGACGAGACCTTGATGGCTTCCGTTTGCCTCTCTGCTTCTTCAACAGGATCACTGCCATAACCGAAAGACAAAAGATAATCAACAAAAGTCGCACCATTTTCAATGAGGCAGAGTTACTTCCAAAATGTCCTGATTTATGGGTGGTGGTGATATTTCAACGAGGGGACATTAAATAGTATATTTTTCATAGCTAGAGATAATTTAATGAAAGATAACTTATTTTACTATTTTAATATGTCGTACTATTTAAGCGTTGAGACTAATAATTTTGATTTTTTTTCTTGTGTAATTGTTTGAATGTTTTTATTTGAGAAATCATGATGGATTTATGAACTCTACGAATAGAAAATATTTTAAAAATAATAATAGATTTTAACGACATTATTTCAATTGATTTAAAATTCAAACAATTCTTATTTCATCATTCAAGATATTAATATATAATTTTAGTTTTTTTAACTTAAATATATTATTATATAAGTAAAATTAGTTTTAAAATTGATGTTGTTACTGTCAGGATTGACTTTGAAGGAGACCCAAAAATTCTAGTGCATTGTTTCTGGACAGCTATTTCAGGATGGCACCGATATCATAATTCAAAGACAAATCTCCTTTGTATACGAATAAATATCATTATCTTCTTTAGAACCAGTCTTTTATTAACAACTGCATTTAGCACTACAAATAATTCCGAAATTATATTATTTAAAGGCAATAAATAGTTAATCTTTTTAGGGTTAAATATGTTTTTAGTCCCTAAACTATTGGCCGTTTTTGGTTTTCGTCCCTCTTTCAAAGTAAGGTACAATTTGGTCCTCATTCTTTTCGAAACGTTCGTTTTAGTCCTCGAAAACTAAACACTGTTTAAAAATTTGGTCCTCATTTAGCAACAAATGAGGACTAAAACGAACGTTTCGAAAAGAATGAGGACCAAATTATACCCTACTTTGAAGGAGGGACGAAAACCAGAAACGGCCAATAGTTTAGACGGCCAATAGTTTAGAGACTAAAAACATATTTAACCCATCTTTTTATTATAAATAACATCAAACATAGTTTTATAATTATATTATTTAGAATACATGAAATAACGTACAAATAGTTATAACTTAGTAGTAAATTGATTATAACTTTTTAATATTTATTAAATTTAAGATTTTCTTTATTAATACCTTATTTAAAACTAAACACTACGTATTTTTCTTTTTATAAAAATATAGAAATATATTTTTCAACATTTTTATTCATAATCTATTTTTATTTTTTGTAATTGTAGTGGAATGAAAAGTGTTAAACAAAATGACGAACAAAAAGAGTAATTTTTTTTATAACAAGTGAAATTCATTAGTAACATTTTCGTAATAGAAGAAAATATTATTATAACATACTTTGAAAGATATATCATAATAGATGAACACTGTGACAAAATTAAAATTACGTTCAAAATATATCATGACAGGTGTAAAGAGACATAAAAGACTTGTTATGACTATTACATAATTGTCATAGAGTTACTTTTTTTATCTTCATTTCACATTAGTGCCCTTTTCTTCCTCTTTTCACGTTTTCTTCATTTTCAACCATCTTTGTTTATCATAATTTTTTTTTCTTTTCACTTCACGTTTTCCGTCCTTGGCCTCCGTTCCATCAACGAAGAGTAAGCGAGGGAAAGCACGAGCTTTTGAGAGAAAAATAAGGAACCATAATCCCTTTCTTCTTTAAATTTTTTTGCTTTTCCCAAATTAAACCCTATAACCGAGAGTGAAAGGAGTTGAGAGGCACACCCAGACCTTCCTTCATGAGTGAAAACCACACCTAAACTTTCGTTCACGAGCGAAAATAGTGTGTGAATCGAGAGAGATCGTGTGACGAGGTGAGAAATGGAGAATGAGCTTGGTAGGAAGCTATCTTAAGTAGGAAAGGAAGGATCGACCAAGGTATGGGAGCTAACCCTGTTTGTGTTTCATTGGATTATTGGTTCAGGACTTTCGCATGTTTCTTTGAATTATTTTTGTTGGTATGAAATATGGCGTAGTTACTAGTGTATTAAAAGCATGAATGTTGTTTCGCTGAGTTAATTTTAGTATGATATATTGCTTCTGAATTTGGATGTTATTATGCTTGTAGTGTTGTGTTATCATGTTTGTTGGAATATGATGTACCTGGTGCAGTTCATTGTACATATATGCAATTGGTTTAGATTAAAAATGGAACAGAATAGTGGAGGAAAAGTAGTATTTTGATGCATATAATGTTAGCATAATGGAAGTTAAAGTTGGAACCTTTTATATGCGTATTGAAAATGATTTCTGGTGCATAACTAATGTAGATTGGTTAAAGGTGCTAGTTCCTCTTTAAATTAATCTTTATTTTGAGAGTGAACCCTGGGTTAGGTGTGGGTTTAGAGTTAGATTCTAGTAACTAGTTAAAGGGTTTTGGAGCAACAAAAATTGGTCCTTGAACCATCTTTTCTTTAGTAAACCGTGCAGTATCAATGAACAAAACCATGGCCATAACTCTTTTGTTTCACTTATCATTGTTTCATTTCAACCTTTTCCTTAATAAAATACGTTGCAGCCCATAATTTTATTTTGGTTGCTGCCATGCTATGTTCGGTACATGTGTTTAGACCATGTGTTGTCTAAATTAAAGCTAACCAAGGCTGGCTTTATTGTTAAGCACGGTGCAACTGTCCAGTTTTCACATGCCATGAAGGTTTAGTTCAAATCTTGGAACTTGATCTTACTTTGCCCCTGAGTGCACAACTGAATGAATGTCAAATCAAAAATTTATGGACTACACTAGTTTTGGTGTTACACGAAAATTTTAATTTTCTTATTTCTTGATTGAGCCATACGTACCTGTTGGTGTATATGGTTTATAAAATCATTCTCCTCTTTGAAAACTCTTTTCAATTGAGTCAAGGGTGTTGGTTATAAATTTTAAATCTTAGACCATACTTTTAGGAAAAAAAATTTAGAAACCATGTAGAACTATTGAACAAAACCAGACCATGTGTTATGCTATTATCCTTGTTACTCCTACCACATTCAGATGCTGTCTTACGTGGTCACTTTCTCTGCACCTTATTTTGGTCCCCTTCACCTTTCTTATTTGAAACTGTAATTTGTGCTTTAGTAAGGAGCTAGTTGTCTAACTTACTTTTCTTGGAAAACAACCATTGAAGGATGTATTCAAGAAGTTGTTAACTTAACGTGTGTGGAAGATATGATGTCATGACTCATAATTTATATAATATCTTAGTTTCTTGGAATAAAAATGCTGGTAAGTTTTATCCGTTGTCAACACCCAATATGTTTTTTTATTTTATGTAATTTTATTATGTTTTATTATTTTATTTTATTTGATTATTCTATTTTTATTTTTATTTTATTTTATGTTATTTTGAGTTTTATTTTCTGTTATTCAGATATTTTATTTTATTATATTTTTACGTTAGTTTATTTTGTTAATTTTATTTTTATCTTCTTTTACTTTAATCCGTTTGTTAAATGTTCTAGAAAAAAAACAAAAAATGGCAAAGGTCAACGTTCTCGGTCTGTTTTCTTTTTCTTCGTTTCCACGCTGTCTCCCATTCTTGTGCAAATCTTCTTCTGCTACGCCATCCATGCATTTACACTGCGTTTAGCTAGCTTACCTTAAGAGAAAACACAGCAGAGCACGGGCTGTTGCAGGAAGCAACCATTTGACAGGGCCACGCCTTTGACCTTGGCTTCGTCTGACTCATGAATATGGCTAATGGAGGAGAGAGCAGGAAAAGAAAGAAACGTTGGCTACAGGAGAAACATTTTTTGAATCAAAAGGCGGAAGAGCAAAGAAAAAAGGAGGAAGCACCAACATTATTCACTGAGACACTACTCTCAACTCCTCAAGAATTTCCTCCATCAGGCACACCCAACATTCCCCAACCTACATACTCATTCACTCATTTTCCTAGCCTCTACGATTACAATAGAAACTCCAACCTTTGTCTCCCTCGCAAGCCACCATCGACTGCTTGGATTCTCCACTAAACCTTGACTCCCATCACCCAATCATCAACCATAATCCATATTCACACATCGCCATAACCATCTTGACACTTATGCTACTACCAACACCCTTCCACCATCTTCATCTCAATCAAATATTCATTCTCATCCTTCTTATCATACTTCTCTCCTATTTCCCCTGCATTCAAACAAAAACAGAGAAGCCCAAATCAACATCCTGTTCGACTTCACCCATCAACCACCAAAAATCCCAAGGGCCACTCCCATGCAAAGACAGAAAACACAATACAGTGGAGGCATTCCCAGTCACGACATTGTGGTGTGGCGGTGTCGCGGCAGCATTGGCGAAGAGCCACGATTCGCGGTAGTGAACCTGGGAAAAGATGAACCCCATTTGAAGGGGGAAGGTGAGAAGGTAGCATCGGTAGCGGCCTCCAAGGCTGACGGCGGCGAAGCAGAGACGGTCACCGGCATCAACAATGCGGTATCGGCGGTGGCTCCGACCGGTGGGAGGGGAGCGTCGGCGAAACCATGGCCTGTTGTTTGTTTGTCCATGAGAAAGTGGGGGTTCCTTTTTTTTTTTTATGATTTGTTTTTTATTTGGGGTAAGGGCAGCTTTCTTGGCTTCTTTTGTTTGAAGCTTCTTTTGTTTGAAGTAGTGACCCTGTTGTGAATCTAGAAGAAGGAAGAAACCTGGTTTCTGATCTGAGAGAAAAAATGGGCCTTGGGCTTGGACCGTACCTCTACAAATTCATTGCTGCACCCTATCCTCGTGGTCTCGTATTGTACACACATTCCTGGTTTTTAATCTTTGCGTCCCTACTCTTACTGAGCTTTTCTTATTTTGTTGTTGTCTGAATTTTATTTTATGCATTTGTGTTTTTCATCTTTTTGTTGATTATTAGTTTTTTTTACTGCATGTGACCTCTTGTAAGATACCCCACCCCTTTGCCTTGTATTCCACTTCACATACTCATTTTTCTAATGAAAATATCTAATAAAAATCATAAAAAATAAAAACTAAAAAGAAAAAGATAAAATTATAAAATTAAAAAATGGTTTTAGGACATCTGATACATCTTGGTTTGCAAATAAATAAATAAAATTTTTAT